CTGCTTGAGCCACAGGCACCTAGCCATAAGATGAACTTTTAAAAAAACCTCTTGTTATTCCAAAGGTATTGTTAAGAAAATGAAAAGACAAGGCCATGAATGAAAGAAAATATCTGCAAAATATATATTTGATTAAATACTTGTATCTAAAATATATAAAGAACTCTTCACAACTCACTAACAATCCAATTTTTCAAATGGGCAAACGATCTGAATAGATGCTTTCCCAACAAAGAAATATAGGTAGCAAATAAACACATAAAAAAATGTTCCATGTCATAAATCATTAGAGTGTCCTGGTGAGATACTACCACACGCCTACTACAATGGCTAAAATGTAAAGATAATGCAAGTAGTCGGGAGACAGTGGAATAACTGGAACTCTCATACATTGCTGATAGGAATGCATAATGATACGACCATTTTGAAAAACAGTTTAGCAATTTCTTATAAAGTTAAACATATACTTACCATGCTACCCAGCAATCCTACTCCTAGGTATTTACCCAAGAGAAATTAAAATGTATGTCCACACAAAGATCTGTAAGTGAAATCATAGCAGCTGTATTTGTAATAGCCAAAAACTGGACACTCAAATGTCCACCAACTAGTAGATGGATAAACAAATTATGGTGCATCCATACAATGGTGTATTACTCAGCATTAAAAAGGAATGAACTCCTGATACATGCAACAAGATGGATGACTCTCAAATGCATTATGATAAGAAAAAGAAGCCAAGCTCAAAAGGCTGCATCCAGCACAATTCCATTTGTATGACATTCTAGAAAAGGCAAAACTATAGGGACAGAAATCAGATCAGCCAGTTGTCAGGGGCTGGAAACAGAAGAGGATTGACTACATAGCAGCACATGGGAGCTTTTTGTAGTGATTAAAATATTCTAAGTTTTGGTAGGTATGGTAGTTACATGACTGCCTGCATTTGTAAAATCTCCTCCAATTATACCCATAGAAAGTGTGAGTTTCATGGTGTGTAAGTTATTATACCTCAATTAATCTAAATTCAAAAGAAAATATTCTTTTAAATCTGCTATCAAAACCTGAAAACTGTTTCTTGGGAGGCAGTTTGGTATAAAAGAAAAAGCCAAGACTTGGGAGTGGGACAGACCAAACTCCAGCTCTGTACTTTCAGCCAATACTTAACTGGACAAGTTATTTAACTGTACTGACCTATTAATCTTATGATTTAATGAGATAACATACAATCTGATAATCCTTAAAGTGACAGTGTCCCTCAACACATCCCTTTCTCTCAAACCCTCTGTGGGGATTTCCTCCTTAATTTAAGTGCTTTAACAATGGTGACAAGAATATAGTTTATGAAGAAGGTTGTACAATATGCCCTTAAATCACACGAGGATTAAAGACAGGGCAACAATGAGATGAAGAGCAGCTATGCTTTTGTTTTCCTCTTTCAACAGATTCAAAAGAAGCGATAGTTCCAGTTTCCTACAGAGACTAAGGTGCCCAGGAACCTACACCTCTCCATTCTGCAAATAAATGCTTTCTAAGGAATATAGGTGCTAGCGGGATGATTTTGGCCTCCTGACACAAGGGTGAACTCTTTCTCAACTACACACTCAATGCCTGGGATGGAAGGATGGGGAAGTGGCTCCCAGCATGCTTAGTCCAAGTTTGAACTGGGCTTTGATTTTTACAACTCTGTCTTTGTTGGTATTTGTGGTAAAAGCTAAATGTGGAGTCCAGAAAAGGAGAGGTCCATGGATATGGTCTCTATACAAAGAACCTGGGCCAGCTCTGAACCATTCCCTTAGCTCCAAAACACCCTCCTCAGGCAATGATATCTTTAACTTGATATCAGTTAGGGTGAAAACTAAGCTTTTCCAAAGGGAAAAGTCACAAAGACACAAGACCAGCTAAAAGCCCAGGAAAGTAAAAAGGCCCCTCCATATGATTCTCAAGGCCACAAAGCTTGTGGAAATGTACAGGATAATAAAAGTGGTATTCAAATCAATAGGGAGAGAAATTAGTCAATAAAATAACTTTGGAACAACTGGCTCATTATTTGCAATACAAATAAAGCCAAATTCCTGCCCTCACTCTTATACTAAAATAAACCCTAATGCATCAAAGATTCAAATGTAAAACAGAAATTTTAAAAGTACTTGAGGAAAAAAAAAACATATGCGCGTTTTTAAAACTAATCTCAGAGTAAAGAAAACAGTTCTAAACATAACACAAAACCCAAGCTATAAAGTAAAAGATCAATTTGACTAATTAAAAATTGTTTGGGGGGATTAAAAAATTGCCATAAACAAGTTCACAACCAGAATGCAAACTAAGAAAAAATATTTGTACTACATACAAAGCCCTAGCCTCTTTCATGTATAAAAGACCCTTAAAAGCTATTATAAAAAAAAAGTACGATCCAATAGAAAAATGGGCAAAGGACAGGAAAAGAGAATGCCCCCAAAAGGAAATACAAATGTAAATAATCACATAAAACCAAAATTAACTTCACTCTTGATTAAAGAAATGCAAACTAAAAAAAGATGCTACCTTTTAAAGGGTATTTGACACAGTAATAATACAGAAGAATGGAAATTACTGCAAAACGCATCAGTAGAAGACTGTTAAACACATAGTAGTACATAAATACAATTAAATACTATGTACCCATTACAATTTTAAGTGATGATTTCGCTTATACTGATAACATTAAATGCACTCTACAACATATGATCAAGTAAGGGAAAAATATTTCAATTTGTATGACAGGATTTCATTTATCTAAACATGTACATTTTTAGCTGTTTGAGCATAAGTACACAGAAATATAAGTTTGTAAGAAAATTTACCAAAATGGTAGCAGTTACTGGCCCTGGGAGAAATTTCAGGCGACTTATACTTTATTTCAAAATTGCAGTATCCTTTTACTAACGTACAATAAGAAAATATTTCTGTAATTAAAGAAAAAGCTAAGTTATTTTCATTTTGCAAAGTACAAAGAAGTTCCAAAGCAATATTTCAACAAAACAAAAGGCATTAGCACGCAGTGAGGCAAATGGCCAGCCAAACCACGGCCTTGCCTCTAGCTGCACCTTCTAAACACCAAGCAACATGAGGCAGACAGGTAAGAAGGCACTATCAGATTTACAAAGGTGAGGCCAAGTGCAGGAGAGTCTGGGTTCAGAGAACAGGTTTCAAGGGTGAGAAAGAGTCAGTTCAAATGATGGTTCTACCACATTAGCTGTGTTGACTTTGGGCAAGTCACTTAACTTTCCTGAACCTCATTTCCACCTTTGTAGAACTAGGATAACAACTATCTCTACCTTATAGGGTTGTTGAGAAGATTAAATAAGATACGTGTGTGATACTCTCATCTCAGTACTGGACATATCATAAGCACCTAATAAAGGTTAGCTGCTTATATTATTATCTGGGACATTTGAGACATTGTCCATGTTGCAACCACTATGTTCTCCATAATCCAGGGTCATGCAACAGAGTAAAAAGAAGATACTGCAAACCTTACAGAATCCCAACATCTGATATTGAACAACAACATGCTTCTCTACCCTTGGTAAAACCTTCCTGGAAGCAGCAGGCAAGGAGGATGGCAGTCAGCTGGAAAGAGGAGGAGGAGGAGGAGAAAGCAAGGGCCTAAATAATTTCCTGGTGCTGCCTACTTTGTCATCAATGAGCCAACATGACTCACTCCCCTCCTCCACCTTTTCTCCTGAGTTGACTGGGACCTTCCCCCAGACATCAGTATGTTAGAATCCTAGAGAGATGACTTTGATGCCAAACCAGAAAAACTTTAGGGACCATGCGAGCAGCAGGTTTCAGAGAAGCAACCTGAGGGTCTGAGAGGGAAGGGGATTTGCAGGCAATCAAGGCAGCCAACACCCAGCATAGGCTTTTGGTCCTGGGGTCCCCTACTATGCGCATCCTTTCCCTTCTCTGGCTGCTTCCTCACCAGTTCTTATTTCCTTCCCCTATTTCATTTTTTCATTATTTGTCAGTCTCCTCAAGGCCCCTCTCTCCTCTGGCAGACCTAATTGTTCTTTATGTCCTGTCCTATGGTGAGGGACAGAATCAGACTGGGACTGTTCTGATTCAAAGAAAGACCTGGAAAGAGGACTGTATGGCCATTGCTAAATGAAACCAACATAGCCATTCCTCTGCTTCCCACAGAAATAAAGCACAAACCATGGTGTGAAATGAGAAGGCAGGGATGTGGGTAGATGGGGAGCTCTGAGTTATTCTCAAACCTCCCTGATGACATTGGAGGTTACCTTGAAATTTGTGGGAAAGGAATACCCCAGAAGAAGCACCAGCAGATTCAAGAGGAACCAGCAGACTCCATCTCTTGGGTCGTAAATGCAACCAAGATGCAGAGCAGCCACAAGTGAGGAAAGACTTGGAGGCAAGAATGGAAGGCCACTTTCCCAGGACACAGCCCCAATTCTTGGCAGTGATTGGGCTGGGACTTACCTTGGGAAGGCTGACTGGAGTCCTGGGCTTGGTCCTTGGGTTCTTAATTAAAAGCCTCTGATCCAGAGGGAGCAGGTGGTATTTCATGGCCTCGATGAGGAAATCCTTACAGGTGTTGTTATTCTTTATCAAAGCTTCTTCTTCAACTGTCTGGAGGTAATGACCCACAGGTGAACCTGGAGCAGCACTCAGCCACATTTCCCAAGCCCTCTCCCTGGGCTGAGTCATTTTTGCACCCCAACATTCATTCATTGAAACATCTCATCATCTCACACCCATAGGGAAAGTTCCACACAACTCCAGCTTAGTGCTCCACTCTTGCATTTCAAGAGCAGGAGTAAGTGATCAGACTCCAATATCGGACAGATAAGAGATTCCCAGATCCACTACTTAACATCACTAATCCTCAGTTGCCTCATTTGTAAAATGGGTATATTAAAGGTATCTACAACCTCACTCATCTGGTTTGTCTGTTTTTGAAGCTTAAATGAGTTTATGCAAAACAAAAGGCAAGTAATTGTCCTGGAAGCCTCTTTCCATATTCCTTATGATTTGAATGCATTACAACATTTAGAGCAAATGATTAGACATCCAAGAGAAGGAAAGGGCAAGGGATCTACCAGGGAACCTTCATAGTCAGTGAGTAAAATAGGGTAATCAAAAAGAGGTATTTATATCCCTTCTCTTATAAACCAGGGAAGCTCTTTCTAACAGAAAGGCAACATCAGAGCAAAAAAAGTGTCTGGCACCTACCAACCTCATCTCGGACCAATCTAAGTTAGGACTCTAGCTTCTTCACCTATTATTTCAGAGCTGAGGTCCTAAGCAGGTGCTCAGCAAATGTAAGCCTAAATATTTTCATGAGCAAGACCAAAGGTAAAGCCATTCTGATGCTCTAACTCTCAAATCTCCATTGTTTGGCCCAGGTCAGATCCCTATGAGACACATCTCGAATGGGTAGTATAGTCTTCTGAGGCCACTTCATGTTGGGAAAGATCAATTCTATTCAAAAGCTAATCCTGATTGAATGTTTTCTGGTTGGACAGCCCTGTGCTGGCCCCCAGGTAGACAATGATGAACAAGACAATGTTTCTGACCCTGAAGAACTCAAGTCCACAGCCACAGAATGAGAAGGGCCTCCCACCTCAATTACCTCAGCCCTCAAGCCAGTCAAGCACAAGGCCTTGCCAAGCCCCTGCTGGGTCCCCATCTATCACTAGAAATAAAAGTACAGCCAGAGCCATCATCAGCTGGGCAGCATTGGAGCTGGCAGGAAAAACATCGGTAAAACAAGGCCTCTGCCACTTCTAGCACCTCCTTCCCCAGAGACAATCCCTAGGAATACTCTGATTCTCTGGCACATTTTTTTACCCTCCCACTAGGAGACTGAGCCTTGTTGGAACAAATCATAAACTTTTAGGGGCAGTTAAAAATTAAAAAGAGTAGGAGAGAATGTCAAGAAAAGCTTGGCAGGAAGGGGAAAGGCACATGCAGCTACTTCTCCCAAAGAACTTACTCAGCTTGAATTTAAAGCTCTTCTGGATAGTTAGTGCTCCATAGGTACAGAGTTTCAAGTTAGGGCAATGAAAATGTTTTGGAAATCAATAGGGTAACACAATGTACAACACTGTAAATGTAATTAATGCCACTGAATTTCACAATTAAAACTAGTTAAACATTTATGATATGTATTTTTTATCACAATATAGCATGTTACATAGTTAGTACAATATTTGTTAAATGCTTTGTAAAAGCCTATTACAAAAAGAAAAAATAAACCTCCCTCCAAAAGTTAGGCAGTGCTGGTAGAGGTCTGGCCACAATCTTCCCTTCCTCCCCTTCTTCTAACACTATCACCAGCCCCAGCAGGTTATAGTTTGAAGTTTCCAGGTCAAATGAATGTTAATGAAACATCCTTTTCCAGAGGTGTTCACTTTGGGAGGCCTGATAAAAGCCCTTTAAAAAAATGGTGTGGGGGGTACCCCACACAACAGTTCTCATGTCCTTTGCTTCTGATTCCCTTCCTTTCTAGGTCTAAGTTCCACTTTGCCATAATATCCCACAAAACATTTCCTTACGGTTATGTTTGTTAAGTTCAGTTGCAAGTGCCTGATTTGTGACCAAGGATCTCTAAGGTCCCTTTAGCTTTCCCTGAAAGCCAGGTCCCTAGGCTGCCCACTCTCTCTGGGAAGCAAGATGGTGCTGGAAGCCAGTCACCTACTTCCACCTTCAGTCAGTTTCCCACAGAAGAGTGGGAGGTTTGACTCTTGACACTGGGAGCTCAGGCAGAGTCAGCCCTCTGCTTAGGGGACCTTTTCTACAGGAAGGATATGCTGCCACCAGGTGGCAGTGGTACCACCCAATACAGCATGCAGGGCCTGAACAAAGTCTTGCAAGGGTACCCCTCAGCGCCTGAAAGAGATTTAGAGAACATTTCACTGACCTCCAAGCCTGTGATCAACAGTGTCATGAGCAGAAGAGTTTACAAGTGCTCATAAAGACACTATGTCACCCACTACTGCCCATCACAGCAGCAGTCACAGACAGTAGTAATATCAGTAACATTCACTAAACATGGCATTACAAGATTCACATGGTTTATCTCAATTTATCCTCAAACAGTCCTGTAAGGGCATGTGTTATTTTTACCAGATGAGAAAAATGAGGTTTAAAAGGGTTAAGAATGTGTCCAGTATTTTATGGCTGGGGAATAACAAAAGCTGGGCTGCTGAGCGGTGACACCTCCTCTCTTATCCTGGCAGCACATCTTCCCTTCTATCCAGAGATTCCCTGGGAAAAGCAGAGGGCTGGCCTACTGTGCCTAAAGTTTTGTTTTGTTCATATACCTTAAGGTTTATGTTCTGCCTGCTTGTAAAAGTGTCTAATTTCATTTTCTATACAAAATGTCATGTCATGGGTAAAGAGAATAGAGAGCATTAAAGGTGGAACTAGCTTAGTGGGAAAAGCTGGTGCTTCAGAGCCAAATTGATATGCATTTGAATCCCAACACTCCCTCATACTGGCAGGTGACCTCAGATAAATCTCAACCTCCATAAGCCTCAAGGCCCACATTTGTAGAAAGGGGGCTATAATCTTTGTCTTACAGAATTGTTGTAAGAATTAAATGAGAAAACATGTGGCATCATAAAGGCACCCATAACTCTTCATTTTTCTTCCCTTTTCACAGGAAGAAAAGCACTATGTATTCTAGGCACCTATGAGGAACTTTTTTTTACAGTCCTGAATTGGGCTCCAATTTGCCTAAAACTAAAACAAAAAGGAACAGAGAAACATTATGAAAGTGACTCTTCTTGCTTTGGTCCTCTACAATTAAAGAAGCTATCTTTCATTGAACATGTGTTATGCCAGGCTCCATGCTAAACATCTAACTTGCATATTCACACTCCTTTAGTCTCCACAACAACTCTGCTGGACTCTATTATAGTATCTGTTCTATGGAAAAAGAACTGAGGTTTGAAGAGGTTAAATAAAAACTCAAAGCTAATAAATAGCAGAGCAGGGACTGAAATATAAGTGTCTTATTCTCAAATCTGTGCTCTTAAACTTCATGTTACCACATCCCACACTTAACCCAATGGGTTGGTACCTTCAAACCATATTGAAGACCCATTAAATTCCCCAACCACTCCACACACCAGGGTTAACACTGCCTGGGTGAACAGGGAAGTGCTTGGTTCCTCACATAGCACTCACCTGGACTAGGTAATCCCTAGGTAAGAGAGGGAGTCGGACGTGTTCCATCAGCTTTGCCATGTGCTCTAAACGAGTTTCTTTCTCATAATTGATCCATGAAATCACAGCTTCAAACACCTATATAAAAAGGTAACACATGTACTTCAGCAAAGAGATAAAAGCTTTCAAACAACCTTCAATATGTAAAAAGAATTAGAGTTACAAGTCTTCCACATAGGTGGTTTAATTAAGCTAGGATTCAATATTTAAACTAAAACAAAAACAAAAAGGCTTAATTTTACTAGCTGGAGAAGAAGGGAGGGGGTGTGAGCAAGGGAAAAAAAAGAAAGAAATTAGTGACTAATTCTTATATAAATTATATTTAATTTGGACCGAAGTACATTACTTAAACATTAACTTTTAATTCAACATGTTAATTTGTTGTTTATCATATTGCATCCTCATTTATAAGTGAAATATGTTTGTAATTTCCCCTTTATAATAATATATTTTCTCCAATTTTAATATCAGGTGTATCCAGATTAAGTAGAATGATTTTGAAGTATTTCTTTTTCTATTGTCTATAAGATTTGGCATGATCTGTTTTGTTGAAATTATCTGTTACTTTCATTTATAAATATTAGGTGTCTATTTTTTTGAGACTTTGGAAAAAACAAAATAAGAAGAAGAAGTTAACTGATCAAAGTATTCTATAATAGACATACTTCTATCTGACAATGTGAATGTTACTTTCTTTGCATTATTACTATTATTACTGCTTAATATTTTGTTGCAGCAATCGTCTGATTTCTTTTCTGAATGTATTTATCTTCATTCATTCTTTATGAGGTTTTTGTTCTTAGTCCTTGTGTTAACTATTGTTATTGTCATTAAATTTAGCCTTTTTAATTCTGTGAAGGCAAAAGTGGAAACCTAATATATACATGTATAAGAAAAATTAATTTAAAAAAATTAAAAATAATAATAAAAATTTTACTAGCTACCTTCAGAGGGTGATTCTCTCTCTCTCTCTCTCTCTGTCTCTCACACACAGACACTAACAAACTTGCTGTGTCAAATGTAGGATCATCATGGTTCATTCTAAAATAAAAACTGCTTCAGTAGTTATTTAAGGGTAAAAATACAGAACAGTAACCATGAACCAAATTTATAAAGACTTTTAAAGAAGATAGCACTCAGAGGGCAATGTTGTCATCCCTCTCAGGCCCCTTTTTCCTCATTTATCTCCTTTATACAGTTGATGCAGAACAAAAATGACAAGAATGCCCTCTGTCTTAAGCTGGCTGTGATGGTGAATGTGACACTGAATGACAAAGAATGGCAAAAATTTTTCTTTATGTTTAGCCTCTCCTTGGGGAGAGATTTTGTTTCTATGCAAATCAAAACTGGAGAGTTTGGAACCAAAAAGGAGGACTCCAGAGTTTACTCTACTCAAGGGCAAATCCATTTTCAAACTCTGTGCCACCATATACACACAGATAGATAAAACTCAGTATCAGTGGGATCATAGGAAAAGCATCAATATTTGTGAAAGCTTAATTAACATAGTTTTTTAAGAAGGGAGGGAAATCATTGGCAAGATCAATCAAAAATTTAAATATGCATACTCTTCGACCTAGAAATACCATTTCTAGAACTCTTGCTACAAAAATACACACACAAAAAAATACATGTGTGCAAGAATATGCATTTCAAGATGTTTTCTGCAATACTGTGATAACAGTATGAAAAAGGAAACAACCTAAAGCCCACTAATTGAAAAGTTATTAAAATAATATCTATACCATTAGATACAGTTACTGTACCTCAGTAACACTGGGGCATTGGTTCCAGGATCATGCACAAACACCAAAATCTGCCCATGTTCAATTCCTTTATATAAAATTGCATAGTATTTGTATATAAACTACACACGTTCTCCTGTATATTTTAAATCATCTCTAGATTATTGTAACAAATGCAATGCCTATACATTACTTCATTCACATGAATTCAAAGTAGTATTAGAAGACAGCAAATTCAGGAGCCAAGATGGCGGACTGCAGCCAGCTTTTTATAGAAGCTCCCATCCAGAAGGAGGCTTAAAGGACAGA